ACTCTTAATTCCAACAAATCTTCATCGATTTTCTTTAAATTTTTATAACTCTTCCTTTAAAATTACATTTTCTAAAGAATTACGTGGAACTATCTCACTTTACTGTACTATTTTTGCTTTTTTTAGCAAATAATTGTATGTAATTTTTTGGAAATGGGATTTTTTTTAGTTTTTTTTTACAAAAAAGAAAAAAATCAGTGTCTTTCTTGAAAAAACTGAAATTAAATTAATCTACTTACTTCTATAGCATTTGCTTACATAATCAAAAAGATTTTGTTTTTTACTTGGATTTAAAAATTGCAGATAGTACTATTACGAACGTACGCGCTGCAAAAAAACGGCTTCATCAAGAAAAGCTATTATGTTTTGCAGCATGTTGAAAAACAAATTTTTAGAGCTCAGTAGCTGTATAACCGGGAACCGGATGAAATTTTTTTTCCCAAAAATATGCTTTGTTTCTACCATTAAAGTTGCTTAATTCCATATCGACTAAAAAACATTTACATGCTATATGCCAAATTCCTAAAAATATATATCAAACGTATTTGCCCAGCTTCCTTCCTGACTTTTAAATTTCAAAAAAAGTATTGTTTTCTTTCTTTTTCCTTTTTTTTCGAAATTTCAACATGGACTTAGAGATATTTAATGTCACAGTTGGAATGACATATGGACAACAATTCTTCGCAAATATCCTCCCCCGATTTGCACCAGGGACCGATCAAGACAAATTCAGGCCCAAGGCCCTCCAAATTTTCTGGGTCTTTTACAAAATATTTTGAAATTAAATTACTGAAGAGTAGTCCTAATAATGAAAAAGAATCTGTTGAACTACATGATTCAAGAGAAACATTCTAAGAAATTTTGAAAGCAGACAATTGAAGATTATTTTTCTAAGATTAAAAGTTTTCAAAGTTTTCGTATCTATAAATTAAAGCAAAATATAAAACAACAAAACAATATAATGTCAAAATAAAAATAGAACAATTGAAATCAATTGAAATCAGTGAAACAATTGAAATCAGTGATTTTTACTAAAAGTCACTGATTAGCTGAATTATTTTTTATTGTAAGCTGGAACTATTTTTTTACTTAGTACTTAAATCAACACATAGCTAGCCCACCTTTCATCAAACTTTTTACTAATTTCTGAGGCCCCTCAGAAATTGTGGGCCCTAGGCCCTTGCCTATTGGACCTAGGCTATAATCAGGCCCTGCACACAAATTTATTTTAGGTAAAATTTTTAACCACAGTTTCGTGTTTTTGTACCTAGATTTCAGTTATGAACCGCCTTATCTTCTCTCTCCTTAGAGAATATGTATTATGTAGTACATGGGTGTGCTAATCACGCTAGCCGAGAAGAATAAAAAGTTGTAGTTGACGTAGCTTAATCTAATATATATAATTCTCTTACGTGGCTCCCAAATTTTGGCTGTATTTCTATTCCGCCGGTGGCAACGTTTTCTTTGTTTTGCTTACGTTACTACTTCTCTTACACGGCGAATAGACCAATGATTGCCGCTAAAAATGTCACATGCCAAATCTTGCTGAGGTGGCTCAACACATAGCGCTCTTAAAAACGGAAACTGAAATAACCAGAGAGCATCAGCTGCGGCAATCTCATACTATTAAGCTAGGCAGAAGTGAGTACTCTTTGTCGATAGATCTCTATTTTAGTATTTTGTTGAAAGCGCTTTTTTTCACCAATTTATATATTACGAATTTATTTGACGGTTTTTGATTTATATCACGAATTATACTATAGCACATTTCTAATAGGATTAACGAATTACATGTCATTTATTTGAATTCAAATTTATTTTAATGACTTAGTATTTACTAAAAAGATTTAATTTTTGTTAAAAAAAAGTTTTTGTATGGATTTGAATGATTGTTTTGAATTCTTAGAATTTTGTGCATTTGCAATGTACCTAAGTTAGTAGNGCCAACTTTAACGGAAAACGAACTTGGATATAATATATCGTCTGCTTTTGCAAAGGTAAATTTCTTTTGTTACATTTTTGGGGGAAAATGTTCTTATGAAAAATGAATAATGCTATTTTTTGAAAGAAAAAAAAATTATTAAACGAATTTTGTTTCGAAATTTCAAGTTTTTCTTTAAAAAGAGAAAATAAAGAAGTTTTGAATTTTCGAACTTATTAATTACAATGCAGTTATTGAGCTGTATACTAATCTTTTAAAAATGCATAAAATCTGATAGTTGCTAAAAGAATTTGTTAGATTACCGGAATTATATTTGTACTAAAATATAGAAAAAAAGTAGTTTGAATTTTCTTCATTCATATTCAAAAATTTATCAAAATTGATTTATGTAAGTTAAAGAATTTTCATTGATGAATAACTGTTTCTGTAGTGTAAATACCAATCACCAGTTTCTTTAAAAAATATGAAATTAAGATTATTAAAATCAAACTTAACATCTCCCTAACCTCATCCGCCCACAATCCTCTGGAGATTGATTTCGGTCACGTGAAGAAAATTTTCCTGAAGACAAGGACGGAAAATTTCTATATAACTATCTGACTATCTCTGATCTACTATATAACTATTTTCATAATTACATTATGAAGTTACATAATTATTTTTTCGTTAAATATAAATATGTTTTTTCCCCTAAGAATTAAATTGTCCATAACCATTTATGGTTACGTTTTCTACGACAAAAAATTTCACACACAATTTTAAGTTTTACCCAATATCTAAATATTTATTTCATTATATTTTGCAAAGCGTTAAATTTTTTATTGAACAATTACATTTCTAAATAAAGAAAAGTAAACCCACGAAAAAATACAACCGTGGTATTCTTCAAATTATTTTAGTTTCCATTCTCTTATTTCAATTAAGTCTTAAGTCTTGTTTAAATATGAAAAAAAAATCTGCTGCATTTATATTTTATGATAGAAATACGATTGGAGAACTCTAAATTTAACACTAAAGTTAAACTTTTAAGTTAAATTTTGAACTTAAAATTTAAGCTTTATAGTCCATCTTTCTATCAAATACCCCAAAAATGACAACCGATTTTATTTTTTTTTCAAAAATAGAAAAAAATTAAAATCTGTGGGTTTGGTGTGTTCTGTTTAGGAAGCGTGAGATTTATTCTCGCCAAACTTCAAAATTACCTACAAAAATCGTCAACAAATGGCACAGTTGAGTTAAAAAAGTTTTAAAAAATGTTTTTCGTTGATTGTTAAACCATTCCAACTGAAATATTTACACAGACAACAGATAATTTTGGCCTTAGTTTGCCCCACGTAGTTGTTGTGAATAGTAATATTTTCTTTTCCTTTTTCGAAAACATAGTTTTATAGTTTTTATTAACAGTGATATCTGTTGATGGTATTTGTAACTAATATAGAAATTCATTGAAAAGAAAGATTTCTTCAGCAAAGAACACAGCAAATTGTACGATTCTATCTCCTTCCATTTTTCTTTTGTTTATTTTTCAAACCATTGGTTATTTTTGATACACCAGGTTCGAGTAAAAAGGCTGTCTAGTGAAATTAGCTTATTTTAATTTAAAAGATACATTTATGTGGTGCTTTTATGGTGCGAAAAAGGATACAATTCTAATTAAACAGTTCTGAAAATGCAAAATTTTCTAAATTTCCTTTTGAATATTATTATTTTTGAATTGAGTATACGATATTAACGCACTTCGTGAATATATTGATGATTCGAATATCTTCCGGCAACTTTTTGTTAACACGAAATTTGAGAATTTGAACATATTGCTGATAGATATGAGGAATGTATTTTCTCATAATTTTAACAGTAGCACATATCAGCAATAAAATTCACTGACATAAAAAAACATAGTTAAATTTCACATCATTATCTAAATACCATTCTAACTTTCGTAACTAAATTTGTGTCCTGAACTTATTCTGATAAAATAGGCACAATTTATAAACTAATGTTATATGGTTATAATCAATTGTTTATAACTATTTATAAATTTTTGGGTTTTGGTTGGGAATTTATTTTTCAAAAAGTTAACAATATTATTTATTAAAATAGAAACATTAACTTGTTTTTAAAAACATAGCTTTTTTTCATTGACATTTCTGAAGTAAAAATAGTTGAGAAACTATGCGCAACTATAAAAATGCAAATGATAGCGCATTCCATTCAAACAAGGCATTTCTTCTGATTATGTGCTGTTTTAAAAGTTTAAAATTTAAACCCACCAAAAAAAACTTATTTTTTACAATTCTCATATTTTTTAAAAAAAAATCAGGTGGGGTAAAAGAATAAATTTTTATTCTTATGAGTTGTGCGCTTTTACAGTTTTTTTTTTCTTCTCACTTTCAATCTTAAATCTTTGTGTTTGAAAATACGATGTTTCTTTTTGGGGGAGAAAAATAATTTTGTAACATTTATTTAATAGTTGGGACAAATTTGAACTATAATTTTTAAGTATTTCAATATTTAATAACAGTAAGACGCAGTCACTCTTACTGATTAAAGTTTCATTTTTGGCATTCCCATTATTAATTTGAAATTTTTTTTCCATGGCTTAATTACTTGTTATTGCTTAGATTTTTCGTAATTTTTTGAATGACTACTAAAATGTTTTCAAAATACCAATTATCGAGTTTTTAAAGCGGGTGAATAAAGGTAATACACGAAGCAATGCGGATTTACTTCGTGGAAATGGCAACAAAAATTCAAAATATCTTAGTTTCTTTCAATTTAAAAGCCTATCTAAGAAGAGGAAGAAAAAAACTATAGCTTAGCTTCATTTTTCACGCTAACATAACTGAACTAAAATGTCTTCTGGAAAAGTAAAGAAAATAAACCTTGAAATGGAGTGTCATATAACTAAAGAATTTTTTTATGTTCTTGAAAATCAAAAAAAATAATAACTTCCGTGGAGAGTTTAAAAGAAAAAGAAAAAAGAAAGAGAGAAAAAAAAATTCAAATTACTCGTCTTTCTTGTGTGCCGCGATGGTCGGAGTTTCACCTGAAGAGTCAAGTTCACATACAACATTTCGTTTCAGTGTATCTCTGGCAACGTCCAAGTGAGCAACTTTCAACCGCTCTTGCTTTCTTTTTTCTTCCATCCGCCAACTTTAACGGAAAACGAACTTGGATATAATATATCGTCTGCTTTTGCAAAGGTAAATTTCTTTTGTTACATTTTTGGGGGAAAATGTTCTTATGAAAAATGAATAATGCTATTTTTTGAAAGAAAAAAAAATTATTAAACGAATTTTGTTTCGAAATTTCAAGTTTTTCTTTAAAAAGAGAAAATAAAGAAGTTTTGAATTTTCGAACTTATTAATTACAATGCAGTTATTGAGCTGTATACTAATCTTTTAAAAATGCATAAAATCTGATAGTTGCTAAAAGAATTTGTAAGATTACCGGAATTATATTTGTACTAAAATATAGAAAAAAAGTAGTTTGAATTTTCTTCATTCATATTCAAAAATTTATCAAAATTGATTTATGTAAGTTAAAGAATTTTCATTGATGAATAACTGTTTCTCTTAGATATAAATAACTGTAAACAAGTGCAAATGGGAAAAATTATTGTTTGAAAAATTTTATCTTTTACGTAATAAAAGACACCGGCCATTCATGCTGTATTCTATAACCATAAATTGTTAAAATGTTAAATATAGTTTTTTTCACCTATTTTGATCTAAATTAATGCAAAATAATAAAAAAAATTATGAAAACTATGTGTAGTAAAAATTCTACTTCAAGATATTTTTTACACTTTATAACATTAAAAAGAAAAAATATAATTCTACTTTAAATTTTTTATGTAAAATTTAACTTCAGTACTACGGATATTTTTTTACTTAATTTTTTTAAAGTGTTTTTTAAAAGTGATATTAATTAATTTATTTACTTTTACTTCAGGGCACATACTACATAAATGGCTAAAATGCTTGAGTGTAATTTACTTTATTTAGTTTAAAACCAACCCAAAATCACTTTAAACATATTGATTTAAATTGCATTTAACAATCTAAAGAATAAACATTCTTCAAAAATTGTGCCAAATCTTTTTATGAGGAATTTTATTTAAAACTGAAAGATTGATTCAAAATAATAAAAAAATATATTTAATTATGAAATTTTAGGAAATTGATTATTATAATTCGAAATAGTTTAAAATTATTGTTCTTAATACTTCTAAAGTTTAAAGTTCTTACAAGTTTTGAAAGTACAATAGTGCGATTCTTTATTATTCCCTAACATACAATCACACCACTGTAATTAATTTACAATATTCTATTACTTCTTTCCTATCATCTCAGTTTTTAAAAAATATTTTGTTTTAATGTAAAAGGCAGCTTTATTCATTTTATCCGTTCTTTTTTAAGTGGTTTAAGCTTTAAAAAAAATACCATCGGCTTCTTTTTTGTTATTGTTTCGGTTTATAATTTCCTTACATTTATTGCTGATAAAAGTCTACGATTTTAAAGAGACTTTATGAATACCTTTCACCAGGGGGTAATTTTAATCAAATAAAATTTCCAATGTAAAAATTGTCAATCAAAATAATAATTTAAACACCTAATTTCTTAAAAGAGTAATTTATTTACATCTAACTAAAAAGAAAAGAGTAATTAATGTAATTTGCATTTTTTTAAAAAAGTTTGAGTAATAGGTACAAAAATTGTAATCTCTGTAAAGTAAAAAGTAAAATTAAATCTTATTAAGTAAACATATTGTTCAAAACACATTGTTCTTATTGCTGCATAAAAGTCATCTAATTATTAACGCCGTTTGTAATTTTATGCTCAATTATGCATACTTTAAACTCCAAAAAGTTATCAAATTAAAACTTTAGTACTTTTTAAGACATGCAAAGTTTGACATTCTTTCAATAATTCTACGCGAATAGAGATTAACAAAAAATTCTAATTTAATAAGAAAAAATAATAAACTAAGTTTGAGTTCAATGTTAAAAAGAATCTTGACTGCCAGTATAAAAAAAGGCCAATATTATTATAAATTTTTTTATTTTTCCTCTTTTGTTTTAATGTCGATTTAATTTTTTTTATTTTTTCATTCTTGGATGTTTTATAAAAAATTATTTCGAAAAAATAATAACAATTTGAAACTTTTTTTTAAAAAAATGTTTTGATGATGAGAGACTATTTATTGTAGTTTCACCTACGCACTGTGGGCCAGAACACCATGATCTTTGGTCAAAAGTCAAAATTAAATTTTCAACTAAAATATGTGTAGGCAGTTTTAATATCGCCCAAATTAAGTATTCATAATCATTCCAAACATTATAATTTAGTTTTTGAACCGACAAGAGTACAATGTAGTGAAAAATATGTTGAAATTTCTTTTTTAAATTTATATTTCAGAAATATATATAGGAATTTCACCTTACTGTTGCATTTTTATCAGAGTAATTAGTCTGAAATTATAGTAAAATTTTTCAATTTGTTGGATTAGTTAATACTCTTTACAAACTTATAGTTTATATATTATCATTTGAAATTTTACAATGTTTAATCACTTTCGAAACTTATCTACAAAAAGTTCCACGAGGAAATAAGCTAAACTTTTTTTTTGTTGTCTTCTTTGATGTTTGTTCTTTCGAAAAAACCTGCCCCATTTTGCCCATATTGCAAAGGTGGACTAAATATACAGCAAAAATTATGTTTTTTTTCCATGTTTCCGCGTTATTTTGTGATTAATTCGCGTTATTTTCTAATATTACTGCGGAAATACAATTTGCTTTTCATTTTTAATATAAAATTACGAAAATTATTACATTTTCATTGCTATATTTAATTATTTAAACGTACTATATTATTATTATTTTTTTCTTTTTTTGCTCGCCTTTTTTCAGCCGCCATTATTATTATTTTTTTTTTTTTTTTTATNGGTATTTTTAGTGTATTTCAAAATTTCAACTATGAATTCAATTTACCTGCACATGAAAACCCCCAAATTTTGAAACAAATTTTATAGAAATACTAATTTTAGCCACGAAACCTTGGATGCTGGCCCACTGCGCTACGCCAAAAAAGGTTTTTCATTTATGAAAAATCAAAGAATTGGACTTTTCGTAATTTGTTAAGTTTTTCGTTCTGGAGCTTGAAACAGCGCAAGTTCCTTGATGCACAAATTCTGAAGTCAAATGATTGAAACTCAAAATTGAAAAGAAGTAAAAAAAATAAGACTAATCAAACGTTATTATCAGTACTTCTAAAATCTAAACAGTTTGAGTGATTGATTAAAATTGAAAGAAGAAAAAAAACGATATATCCTACATGTTTTTATTTTTAAAAACATGAATGGTGAAGACAGATTAAGCGTGTAAAGCAAGTATAAGGAAATTTAAATATCCAATTTTCTAATGTCAGAATGATTTGGCGTCAGCCCACCCCCAGTCATTTCCTTTTTGAGTTAAATAATAATACGCCTTTCGATTAATTTCACACTTCACTTTTTATAAAGAATCTTCTTTCCAGAAGGCGTTGTTTGTGGTTTAAACGTGGTAAAAAGTTGTTGATAAGCAGTGATGGGGGTCTTTCTTTTACCAATTAGTTTGAAAGAGGTAACATGATGTATGATGTTTCAAACTTTAAATGAATAAGAAAGAGTAAAGAAATTTGAAAAACAGAAATCACACAAATTGTTAATGCGTTGATAGAAGACAACAAATTCTTCAGTTCACTTTAAAAAAAATAATAAATAAATAAACTCGCTCATAAAAATCAAAATTTTCTTCACTGTGTATCAATTTGTTAGCAACTGCAATATTTTAAATAAAATGAGGCTTATTTACTTTTCTCATATTACATTATTACACAGAATCGTCTCTTATACATTATTACATAGATTCGTCTCTTATACATTATTACATAAATTCGTCTCTTATACATTATTACATAAATTCGTCTCTTATACATTATTACATAGATTCGTCTCTTATACATTATTACATAGATTCGTTTCTTATACATTATTACATAGATTCGTCTCTTATACATTATTACATAGATTCGTCTCTTATACATTATTACATAGATTCATCTCTTATACGTTATTACATAGATTCGTCTCTTATACATTATTACATAAATTCGTCTTCAATACATTAGTTTCATTTATTTGTTTTCTTTTATCATATAACTGATAAAAAGTAAAAATAAAAAGCTTTTAAGGTCTATGAAGATCTATTGCGATTATTATAAAGTACGTTTACATAATTTTTCTTTCAATTAAATCTTCACTTAAAAATGTAAGCTGTTTGTAATACCAAATTAAATTTTTCATTTCTGTTTAATGTAAGTAATTTTTAGAAACAATCATATGTGGGGGAAAAAACACTTTTAATCGCCAATATCTATTAAACTACGTCAACAATACGCAGCTATTTTATTTCAAAACTGGTGTTGAAAAGCCAACCCGATTCTGCGTTCAACTCCACTACCTTGGGATTTTGAACCCAACCCAGAAAACAAGGGATCTCCTAGATCAAGCATTAAAACAAACTAGCCTTCGTAGAGGATTTTTTGATGGAACTAACTCGCATTTGCAATACATAGAAAGGAAAAACGCGAAAACCTCCTACTGTTAGTCCGACGGCAAGAGAGTTCTAACCCATAATCCGTCTACCACTGAGGATATTGCACGTCAGCACTGTGGTTGGTGCGAGTCCAGAACAGAATTCGTACCAACCAGCCACCACTGGGATTCGAACCTGCGTCACCTCAGAGGCGAATACTCTATCCCCTGAAGCATACTAGGTCAATACGCAACCATTTCGTTACCATCGTTGAACAGCTGATCCAGTTTTTAGTTTACGACTACCAATGTTCAACTACTTAGCCTTGTAATTTTGAACCCAATTCAGAAGACAGGGGAGCACCTGGATCAAGTATTGGGAAAAATTTGCCTTCGTGACGGATTTTTTTATGGAACTTACCCACGTCTGTGTTACATATAGAGGAAAACCACGAAAACCTTCCACTGTTAGCCTGACTGCAAGGGGACTCTTATCCATGATACGTCAACCACTGAGGTTATTTTATGTCAGCAATGCTGTTGGTGGGAGCCAGGTGCGGAATTCGCATCGATTACATACGCAATCATTGATGAATTTACTACTAGGCGAGAAATGGGTTTTATAATA